CTAATCTGTATGTAATATTTATGATATATATATATATGCCAGCATTTAAATGAAGCGAGCAGCGCAAACCAAACGATTACTGCAACAACCCACTAACAAATTATTTTATCAACATATATAACTTTATACACTCGAACTTATTTGTTTCGAAGCACTATCTGCAAGTTTACGCTGCGCAACAAAAATTTATTTCAAATTAAAATACAGTTTTTATAGTTTTATGATCAAATTATTATTTTCCTTTTCCTATATTTAAGTCGTATTACTTTTTAGCACACTGAAATAACATCACGCCACATTAATGATTAATGAAATTAATTTTGTATTGACTTAATCAAAAATATATATACGAAAGTTATAAAAAAAGAAAATTCCGCTGGTTTTTTTTTAAGGGTATGTTCAATTTTATATTTGTAAAATCAATTATAATGTTGTAGGTGGAAGTGTAAAACTTTCAAAACTTTAAAAAAATTCAATTATACTTATTTAAAAATATATCGGCTTATTTATAAATATTGAAAAACAATTTATATAATTTAACTTTATTTTATTTTACGTTTTCAATTGCTGAGCGATGACAAAAATAACTGATATATTTTTATTTGCTACTTTTTTTATCATTTTGTAGAACTGTTTTGAACTTTATTTTTCATTTTTTATAACATTTAAATAATGTTTTGCTGACTACGAACAATTGAATTTACCCAGAAAAAAAATCGCTGATATGCAATAAGTGTAGAATATCTACTTGGAAGGTTATAGAATTTTGACTGTATATAGTCGCGAACGGATCGGCAGATCGGTGGCTGGCAGTGTTCATCGATCAACCTCCATTAGTTAGTTTTAAGCCGCCGGAAACTGGTCAAGCCCTGCACTAACAAACCAATAAAAAGCAACGAAACCAGGGACGAGGTTATCAATTTCGGTCGCGATTTATCCGCCTGTCTAGATATGGTCTGAAATTGGAAATTGGGTCTGGACTGGCAGGGCTATATCTGTCTATTATCTATCTGTTTATTTGCTCGCAACAACTGGGCGGACCTTACACAATATGTTTTTGGCCAACCCCAAAATCAGCGATCTTCAGTGAGTTTCCTTTATTTGAAGAGCATCGATTTGCAACTGTCAGCGGAACATATAGTCATAGTGTAACAACAACATTGTCCTGATCTATAATTAGTTAACGCTTTTGCCCACTCGAGAATGATTTATTTGATTGTTATTTGTATCGCTTGTCTGGGCACGTTTGCCCCAGCGAGTCCTAAAAATAAACTGTGAATCTGATAAAAAGAAGCCAAGCCAAGCCAAATTAAAATCAATTTTCGTATGAATTATTAGCCCAAATCGTATGTGTGTAAAAGGAGGGGCTAGCATTATCGGAAATCTGATGGATCTGCCGAATTGGTCCGACAACATTGATGGATCCCTTGGTCGGCTGCTCTGTCAGCGATTATGATCGATCAGGGATCTTAAGTTCTTTGGCTATATAATATGGGGGAAGTTTTGAAATAATATTTACCAATAATCTAAGTTATATGTGTGAACTTTTATATGATCGCCATAATTTAATCAATTTATTTTTACATTGAGATATAGTGATTTAGGGTCCCTATAATATTTTTAATACGTCTCCTTAGGTGTAAAATCTCTTTTAAAATGGACTTAAATATTAAAAATATTTATGTTTAGCCATTGTTAATTTCCCAAAAACAAATGTGTTTTTTCTTATTTCACAAGTTTATAATTTATCTCACAAGCTTTCAAGTTATGTCATGTGGTAGCCAAAAACCCAAAAGACATGCCCAACCAACCGATCGGTACAGTTCAGTACCAAAAGAATTCATATAAGAGATTATGTCACGATTGTCGATCGGATCGCGCGAGATCCATTCCTTTGATTACAGCATCATCACAGTGCACAAAACTCGCTTGATCAATAACAAACTATATAAGCGTATATATAGATACATATATAGCCAGAGACGATCGCCATCTGCAAAAAAAGGCACTCGAGACCCGAGATTTCGAGTCTCGGGACTCGGGACTCAGGTGAATTCTATTTCCCTATTTACTTTGTAAATTTTCGCTGGCTGCAAATCAAAATATATACATATTTTATTCTGTTTGTTACGTCCGAGCGATCGAAATTTGTCACGTGGCATGAAAGGCAGCAACAAAAACCACACACATTTGGTAGCTAGAGGTAGAACAAAAAAAAAAAAAAAAGACGAGCAAAAGTTTACACGGCAACGCGGTTCGACGGAAACGGCACGAAAATAAATCGAAATTTAGCAATCATCTGCGGTCGCGCTCCTCCCACAGTTTCCCGGTACCTGTGGGGTCCCCATCTCCAAATATATGTATGTTCCTATGTCACGGGGCCCCAGATCTACACTCCTACACCCCCTTATTCGATTATTTTTTATGGTATAGCTCTATGTTCTATGGTTCCTTTATTCTTCTCTATTCTCCTTCACTGCCTTTTAGTCATTCTAACTTTGTTTCATATCCACTGTTCCTAACCTCTTTTCTACATTGCCTTCATTAATTTTTTTTCTTTATTTCGGTCTTAAACAACCTGTATATTAGCATGCCTTAACTTATTTATTTATTTATTTATCTATCAGTGTAATAGCTTTATGTTTTCCAGTTATTGTTTCTAATGTTTCATTACCATTATTATACTTTAAGCTTTATAAGTCGTGTTTTCAGTTCTCGAACATTAAATTTCAATTGCATTCATATCAATTTCACAAAGTATTAACGTGGTGTTTAATGTTTTTAAACTTTTTTTTTAGATTCTATCGAACTTGATAGTTATATTCCTCCCTAATCAGCCGTTCGTTGCCCCTTTATCTTTACCTGTCTCAAGTTTAATTATACTACGTAGGAACGATCACCTGAACGATCGAAGCACATAGATGCCAACATTTCCTATCTCCCGGCAATATCCATCCTCACCCTTTTTTTACACGGAAAAAAATTATGCTCATCTTAAAAAATAAAATTTATATAAAGGGTTGCTTTAAAAAATTATATTTCAAATAAACTTTGCTTTGATAGAGATTTCATTTTGAATGATACAATAACAAAGGTAAATAAGATAGTGTCATTGAAAACTCGTTTTATTTGTATGTCTAATGGAACCCTCAATTAGAGATATCATATTATATATAATATGATTTCTTGTATGACTTGTATAGTGCTATTTATTTGTACAACTGCACCTGTTTTGAGTCTTTTCTAGTATAATTTTTTCTTCTGTGTATGACTAGGGTATCCCACGGGGTCTGCGATCGCTCTGTCCGTCTGTTTTGTCCGCAAATGTCGCAAAAATTCTTTGGCAGCGATATTTTTGGGATTTGCTTTTTCTTCGCTCTGCAGAAGGGAAAGCGCAATGCGTCAAGTGAAAAACAATGAGTATGCCGCTCTGTCTCGAGAACCGATCACCAAACCAAACCGATCCGATCCGATCCAATACGATACGATACGATACCATACAATACGATGTGATACGATGTGATACGATGTGATGTGATGTGATGTGATGTGATGGCGGTGGTGCTGTTGTTGAATGTGAATGTGAATGTGAATGTGACTATGGATCGCCGTGATGCTGAATGCTGCCGCTCGGGGCTCGTGATTGGCGCACACATTGGCAAACGAGAGCACTTTATTTTTAAACGTTTTAAAAATACGATCATTATAGAATTTGCGGCTTAGTCATACCCCGCCGCCGAAATGTGCCAAGCGAATTTGACCAGAAACCGCAGAGCACCAAGTTAAAGGGACAGCGGGTGGTGGTGGTGGTGGTGGTCCAAATGGAGGAGAAGGCGGAGGGGGGCGTGGCACGGCCACTGCCACTGGCACTGGCATTGTCGAAATGGAAAACCCCAAAGCCTTAAGCTATGCCCTGACTGACAACCCATGAGTTGTCACAATGAGGCACGCAACACGCAAATATCACAGATACACAGATACACACAGACGCACAAACAAATCCATTTGAATGGCACATTCGTATGATCGCCGGAGATCAAACGGCGATCGGTTCTATAAATGGGGCCCTAACCTCACTTAGTCACTCAATCGGCCAGCTAAGAATTGCCGAGCTGAAAAGCAGGGAATCAGGGAGACCTTTCTATATAATGCCCATTGATTAGGGCATATTTGAAAAATATAAAAGCAACAGCTAAGATAAAAAGCTTATTTTTTGTTTTAGAATAAAATATCATAGCATAACTTAAGTAATAGAAAATTAAAAACCCTTAGCTTTAGTATTTCATCGTTCTATGTTGTTGATTGTTGAAGATCCTTTCAAAAGTTTAATATTGATTTTAAAAAAGGATTTTTTAAAAATATAAAGAGACTGATAATACTGATATTTTTAATAAGAACCGAAATTTATAAAGCTCTTTGCCGTTCTTACAAAGTGATCTCAAAGTTTAAAAGTGATTAAACCAAGTAAAACAGAAATCCATTGAATACCTATGAGTAAGTCTTAAAAACAACAATAAACAAACTGTTGATCCAAAAAAAAAATGGGATTGCATCCTTCACAGGTTCCTGAAAAATTTCCTGTAATTTCGCAGTCATCTCCAAAAAGCAAACCAATTGAGAACCCACCCAAATTCAATGAGAAAACCAGTTCAATTTAAAGTTTAAAGTTTTCTGTTGTTAATTTAATCAATTCGTTTTAGTGTTGATTTTTTTGTTTGTTTGTTGCTTTTATGGTCACAAAATTATTGTTGCTGCTGTCAAATGTTATATATAAAAATACTGATTTTTATATATATATATATATATTTAGGTATATACCTCTCCATGTATATTCGTTTTTCAACTACGCGCATTAAAGACTTCCCTTGGCAATGGAAAAAAAAAACGTTATCCTCTTGTTTGTATATAAATATATTGTATATATGTATATTGTATATAGTTATAATTAACTTTAAAATGTAACTCCTTAAATATACATTTAATTTCTTGCTCTCATTTGTGTTTGTAAATATATATTTATATATATATATATATATATTGCTAAATATTCATTAAGCTTCAGTTTTCAACAATTTTATTAAAATTTTGTTTTGTTGTTTGTTCATATCACAAGAATTTTCAATTTTCAATTTCCAAATAAAAAAGTGTGTATTGTAAAGGTGTGTGTTCGTTTCATTTTTAAAGCTTTACTCTTAACAATTTTCTCAGTTTTTCCAGTTGCGTTTTTCACATTTTTCTCACTTACATTTTAATAACTAATATATACTCTCTCCCCTTTGCGTTTTACAAATTAAATTTAGCGTTGAAATTCTTAAGCAAATCCAAATGTTTCGCTTTGTTTTTAGTTTTTGTACACAATTATATACACATGCTAATACACAAAAAAAAAAAAAAAAAATAGAAATAGAAATAGAAACTGAACTGAACTTAAGCTTAATTTGTTCTTAGTAGTTAATCAAAAAAAAAAATCAATATTCTAATCCTAAGGTTGGGGTTTTTTTTTGCTGATATGCTTGGAAGATACATGTTCTCGCTTAGATATAACATTTTTTAAGGTAAAACCTAGTTGGTAGGGCTAAAAAAAAACGTTTTATTTAATCTAAATTATGGCTTAGGGAACTAAAAGGCCAGGCCCAGTGACTGCCAGTATAACATCCGATTGGTGGGATTGCTGCTTGCTTAGTGTCTACGATATTTCTTAGGCCACCAGGGTCAGGTTTGTGGGCGTGGGATCTGCCACAAGGATCAGCGGTGTCCTCGTTGTGTGGGCCAAAGACTCCTGATCCAGCCAGCGTTGCAGGTGCTGATGTTGCAGCTGATGTTGCTGCTGCTGCTGTTGCTGTTGCTGCTGCTGTTGCTGCTGTTGCTGTTGCTGCTGTTGCTGTTGCTGTTGCTGTTGCTGCTGTTGTTGCATGTACATCAGATTGTCGTTGTAGACGGCATGCAGCTGGAGATTGAGGCTGTAGCTGCTGCCGCTGTCGCTGTAGGTGGATGAGCTGCTCTCGTAACCGGAAACGGGCGATCCCTTGGGACAGCAGAAGCCAGTGGGCGAGAGGGCGGGCGCCGAGAAGGGGCTGAGTGGGGTGGTGGGCGTGGCTTTGTTGCTATCCTGAAATTGCTGGCTAGGACTCCCGACGGGAAATGTCTGTTGTTGCTGTTGCATGCTCGGATTTGGATGGCAGTGAAAGCTGCTGCTGCTGCTGCTGCTGGTGGTGGTGGTAGTGGTGGAACTGCCCGGGGATAGACAACCGCCAGGATACGGATGATTGCTCCAGATGATGGGCTCCCTTTGCTCGCTGATCACCGCTGGTTTCTTCTTTAGGCGACGCTGTTGCTTCTTGTCTGCCGCCTCCTTGGTGTCCACCTCATCGTCGTCGGCATCGCGGTATTCCTCATCCTCGTCATGCTCCTCCTCGCCAGCGCCCTCATCCAAATCCTGGTGGTGGTGCTGGTGCTGGTGATCCTCATCATCGTCCAGCAGATAGGGCTTGAAGAGCTTCACCTGCTTGGAGGGCAGCTTGTGCTCCTCGGGCTGCTCCGTCTCGACATCCACATCCACCTCCACATCCTCGTTGTCCGCCTCCGTTTCGGGTTCCTTCTTAATGTGATCCTCCAGCTTACTGATCTTATCCGGTTGCATGGGATTGGTGATGACCTTGCGCTTGCGGAAGGTGAGATCCACACCCGAGGGATCCTTGTCGTTCAGTTGCATTTGACGGCGGGCAGAGGATCCGAGGGACAAGTCCATGGGTGCCGGGGTAACTACCGCCTCCAAACGGCTCTCCAGATAACCATGGTTATGATGTGGATGTGGATGTGGGTGTGGGTGTTGGTGTGGATGATGCTGATGTTGATGCTGATGCTGATGGTGGTGGTGGTAGGAGTAGGGCATGTGTGGAATGTGACTGGAGGATCCGCCGGGGGATCCGCTCAGGATTGGCACTTGTATTGGCACTTGGTTGTTGGCTTTGCTGCTGCTATTGCAGTTATTGTTGCTGTTGCTGTTGCTGTTGCTATTGCTGTTGCTGCTGTTGTTGTTGCAACTACTGTTGCTGCTGGGCACAGTGTTGCTGCTGCTGGCGGGGATTGGTGTTGCTGTTGCGGGTGTATTGTTGCCATTGTTGCCATTGCTGGTGGCCATGGCGGCGGCAACGACAGCGGCTATTTTGGCAGCCGAAAGGACACTTGCAGAGCCCTGATTGCTGCCATTTGTGGGAACAGTTGCTGGTGCTTCCTGTTGCTGCTGCAGCTTCTCCTGTTGCTGCTGCTGCTGTTGCTGCTCCTGCTGCAACTGCTGTTGCTGCTGCTGCTGCTGCTGCTCCTTTTGATGTTGCATTTGTGGATGAATGGCCACCGGGACATGGAGGTGTGGATGGGCGGCCAGGGGGTGTGGCACGATGCCATTGGCGGCCAACAAGTGATGGGCGGCATGATGGTGGGCCGCTGCTGCCGCTGCTGCTGCCGCCGCTGCTGCTGCTGCTGCCGCAGCATGATGGTGATGGTGATGATGATGGGCGGCAGCGGCAGCATGGTGTCCATGTCCATGATGATGATGCACTGCGGCGGCATGATGGTGATGCAATTGATGCACCAACGGATGGCTCAGCTGATGGAACACCTTGACTGCAGGTGTGGGCGATACCGATTGCTGCGGGAGATGTTGCTGTTGTTGCTGTTGCTGTTGCTGCTGCTGCTGTTGTTGCTGCTGCTGCTGCTGCTGCTGCTGCTGATTGTTGGCCACCGACGAACGCAAATTGGACTCGCATTGCAACCACTTCTGGATTTGCCGGCGGTGAATATTGTATTTTCTGGCCGTGGCCCTTTGATTGCCCTTGCAATCATTATCGTTGCGGTACGATTCCAAAACTTGCAGCTTAAAATGGGGCGTGAAAATCCTACGACTGCCCATTTTGGGACTGCCGCCCGAGGTGGCATTGTTATTATTGTTATTTGTAGAATTCTCCGAAGAATCCTTGGGTCGCTTGAAGTTCAAAGCTCCAGAATCGCTGCTGCTGCTATCCATGGTTATTAGTTTTAGGGTAGCTTTTGTATAACGTTTTTGGTGGTAAAAATATCTAAGTTCTCTTTTTTTTTAGTAGCAAAAATATATATTTGTGTGGCTGCTGCTGTGTGTTTTTAGTTTTTAGGTGTTTTTTTTTTTTATTTGTAGCTGTTGTTGCTACTTGCGTGCGACGCTTGCGCTTTCATAACTCGCGATCTGGCAGCTCTGTCACTCACACACGCACACAACACTCGCACATAGATACGTTTGGAGTTGTTGTATAAAAACACTTTAAAATCCGTTTCAAATATGTGTATATTGTATATCGGAAAACACAGTTAAAAAAATGTAAAAGCACTAACGTTTGTGTGTTTTTTTTTACTTTTTGCTCATTTGTACGTGGTTAGATACGCTCTTCCCATTAACTCGCGTTTGCGATCCGCACGGCAAGGAATCCAAAACACAATTGTTCTGCCTTTTTTCGTTCTAGTTCGAAGATACGTTCTAGACTGCCGCTCTCTGCCGGCGTCTCTGCCGGCCGCGCAGTCGACGTCGCTGCTTGGGTTCACTCACAGATACAAACACTCACGCATACAAGTGTAGAATGCCTGCCTGTCTGCTGCCGCCACTGTTGTTGTTTTTGCTGCCGCTGCTGCCCTCGTGTGGGTGTAAGTGTGCGTGGAGAAGAGAGTGAAAAATCGAGAGAGCGGGCAAGAAGCGAGAGAGAACCACAGCAACAACAAGCATGGCGCTGAGCATTGCAGACAAACTGACGACATTCGTGTCGCGAGGTGTCTGCCTTTGCACGTGTGCGTGTGTGTGCTAGGGCGAGTGCGAGTGCGAAAGGGATGCCACATACGGGTTGTGGCGTTGGCGTTGTTGTTGCTGCAGTTGCGGCGCTTTTGTGTTGTTGCTTTTCCAATGTGTATGCACGGTGGGACCGAATGGACAACAGGGGACGGAACAAACCAACAATTGCCCCTCGGTCCCCCTTCCCGTTTTCCAATGCGGAGCCACTGCCACAGTCACCGGACGACTGACTAACTGACAAAAACACCACAAATGGGTCTACAGTGGGGCGAAATGGTAAAGATAGTTGAAGATTATACAATAATGGCATGACTCAATAATGTTATTCGGGGAGAAAAGATAATCTAGAAAACTTGAAAGTAATAGTCAAGCTTAAATGACATCCATGTGACATCTGCATCCGAAAACTTTGAAGTCACACAGAGATCCAACCAAGAACTGAAATGCTTTACAAACTTAAAAGTGTCTTTCTATTAATATATGTCAAAAAGGAGTATTAAGCTTTAAAAATGCAATTCGAAAATTGTTAGCATAGAATTAATATATTTAATAAGAGTAAATTGGACTTATTATCAGCATTTAACCAATAGCCGAACGAGAAAAGAATTATTAGATTGGAAAACAGAAGGAACTCAAAAAGTATTAAAATTCATAATCTTCTTACTTAATTGGTTTCCTAAACATTAGGCTGATTGTAATTTTATTAAGCTAAGTAAATTAGAGTACAAAAACCAACTTCAGCCAAATCCAGTGGCTGGCAGCTTTCGGCGCACTGTGCTGCGACTTTTGTTAGCGGCTGCGGTTGCTCACACACACACAACAGAGACCCATTGAAATGGTGTGTGTGTGCGCCAGAGTCGTGTGTTGCCAGACATTCTGGCACTGCCACTCCAAATGCCTCCCTCCCCGATCCCCTTTACCTACCCCTACCCCTTTTGACCCACACCCCTGTGCCCCCGCCCCCATCCATCCACTCTTTTTCATACACACACACGAAGCAACAGATCGTGGAACGAACTTGTTGAGCGTGCTCTCGTATTCTCCCTCACTAGTCGCTCTCTCTCTCTCTTGGAATCAACTGTTGAATGCATTGCTGCATTTTTTATATATATTTACAAGCACACACACAAATAGTGGTTTCCAACTATCTTGGTTTATTTTATATTTTACTCGTTGTTGTGGCCGTGGGTGCATATGTACTATATACATATATATATATATATATATATATATGTATATTTATATATGTAGCCTAAGCTTTTTTCTGTCGACGTTGTCGCCGTTCTGTCTAAGCTCAAAAAAATAAAATAATGAAAATCACACAAAAAGGGCATGCAAGAGGTGCAAAAGGAAAATCAAGAGAGTCTTTCCGCACTTGTTGCAAATAAAAATGACAAACGAAAATGCTGTCTCTTCTTCTTCCTCTTCGGCAAAATCTGGAATTCATGAATGAACAACACACACACACACACAGACACCTCGCTCTCTTTTGCTATTTGTATGCGTATGTGTGTAAGTGCGACGGTGGGCTGCTTTGCATGCGAGTGTATGCAAATTTATAAAAAACAAAAAGAAATAAAAAACCAAATCGAATATATATGGTATTGTTGTCGAGCATCAATTTGCGCGTGCGATATGCTGAGATAAAGTGGGAAAGAGAGGGGACGCGAGATCTTTGAGTCACCTAGCTAGCTTATAAATAAAAACATGATAGATCAAAGGGGTCTAGATTCCCACGTCGCTGGTGCCCCGCCCCACTGTATCCGAAAGCACTGATCTCTCATCCTCACTCTTACTGTATCCCAATCCCAATCCCAAGCTCCTCACCCGCCTCACCACACCACCAATAAAAAAGCGACGACGGACTGTCTGGAAAGATCAAGGAAGCGGGAAAGGGACGACAAGACATGATGGAGCCTGCGAAGCGCCTGCACACAAAAAAATACAAATAACGAATAATATGTTTGACGCGCTAAAAAAGGTTTCTTAAAAAAAAAATTATTTACAAACTGAAAAAATGTTATAAAACATAAAAAAAAAATAAGTTCACAACGGGGAATTAATATTCACCTGCATTAAAAAATGTTAATTCAATATTTATATATACAAAAAATGTCCTCTCTAAGCTTGCAAATAATACATTTTTGAAAATAAACCGAAGAAACAAATGAATCAAATTTCAAGATGTGTACATTCTATACAGTATTAAAACTTTAAAAATAAATAAAAAAATGTACATCTATGTAACACAATATATTTCAACAAACTTTAAAGATCAGATCTATTAAACATAAAAAATTACAAAATAAAATTATAAGGCCAAAACTTTATTTTTTTACATTGACCGAAATTTGAAAAAAGAATCTGAAGAAAAATGTAGAAAAAAGCCTTAAAAAAAGGCGAGAGAAATACATTTTTGAATTGCATTTCCAAGTAAAGCGGACACAAACAACCCAAAAATATGCCGAAAAAACGCACACAAGCTCGCAACAAAAAATTCAACCGACAAAAAAGTTCAAAAGCAACACACATTTACACACGCCGGCACATAAAAATCAAAAGAATTCCACTTTTTTTTTTATTTAGACCCCGTCGGCTTCTAAATCGATTTATCAAAAACAAAACAAAAAAAGAAGCGAAGAAGACGAAGGCAAAGAGATAAAAATTGAATATAAAAAGGTAACGTAAAAATCGAAGAAATCTATACACACATACAGTCATACACCCATGAATTGATTAAAAAGTTGAGAAAAAAAAAACAAGTATAAAAAAATGGGAAAGGGAAAGGGCGCGGCAACCGACATAAAAAGGAGGGGAAGAAGGAGAACGACGTGCTGGGGCACTTATGATCTCCAATCTTATGGAGAAGGGGGAAGAGAAGATGAAGAAGGAGGAGGAGGAGGAGGAAGAAGAGTGGAAGGGGGAGAGTTGCAGGAGGAGAGCCTCAGGTTACTTTTTTTTCAACGACTCTGCCGCCGCGCTGTCTGCGTTTGAATAAGCCCACACAAACAACATAAACTAAAAGAGGGACAAAAGGAGAGAAGGAGAAAAAAAGACAAGGAGAATATTTTGAAGAATCGCAAGATGGAGCTCCGAGTAGAAATACAAATTCCAGGACTCAAAGCCTTAAAAGAAATAAATATTTCTAAAAACGATCATACCTAAAAAACCATAAAACAAAGAAATATTACTCATGAACTTAACCATTTATGAACCTTTAAGATTCGGTCCTTTGATTGAAATAAAATAAAATATATCCTGTTAAAAGCTTTTTGAGAAGAAAAAAAAAAAAATAATAAAATCAAAAAAAATAAAAGTTTTAGAACTAGTCAACAATCTAACTTAAAGAAATACTCATTCATTAAAACAACAACAAAAAAGATGGCACATATAAAAAATCAACCTTTTAAGCTTAAAATATTTATCCCAAGTCCGGATATATAATAGCTTATGATGAAATAATTATTGCGTTCTTTAATTATTTTTCTACTATTAATCATAAGTTAAGTAGGAGTTAAATGATTGTTTTGTTTGGCAAAATAAATAAATAAAACAACATCGAATACTTTTCAACTGCATATGCCAACCACTCATACCAAAATTATATTATTTTTTACAGAGCCCAACAAATAAAAAAAACAGGAAATTCCTCAACTATGAAGGCAGACACGCTCTTTTAGCCTATGACTAAACCATAAGAGGAAAAAATATAGGTATGTATGTATATATAAGCCTTATCAGGCGATAAGATCAAACAAAGGCGATTCAAGTGCCAAGTTCTATTTGTCGGCCAATAAAGGTTGATTCTGTAAACAATTTTTCGACGGAATGTTGCTCGAGCAATTACAAAGTGCACTATATAGTTGCATCCACAATCGAAATCGTGAATACCCACCATATATATACAAACGTATGTATGTGTATATAAATACGGCACACTCATATCGGCTCTATCTATCTGAACACGTAGTGCCCCCGGGTTATCGGTTGGGGGCCCCTGCTGCAATCTCTTTGCCACTGACCACTCTGGTATCTGGTCTTATGGGGTACGTCACCCCTCGAATAAGCCCTATTTGTTGTTATTCTTGTAACGTACCGATCCACGTGGGTCGATCACGTTTTTAAACCCAGGAAAACAATGTAAGCTAAATTATATCAGTTGAAGGCCTAAATGATACAGTACGCTCGAATGGTTATTACGAATTGCAGGTTCCAGTCTTATTCTAGCACCGATATGCCAAGCGAACTTGACTGTATCACGTCTCTTGTACATTGTAGATTAAATTATATCAAAAAGTATATGTTTTTTACACTATTATTGTAAATACCATATCATCTAAATATTATATATATATATATATATATTCTTATCAATGTGTTTAATAAGCTTGCCTGTGTTATTTATTTTTTTATATTATTAAAATGACTTTTATATATACATACATACATAAATGTTTAATTGATTGACTAGTTTCTATGCTCTGTGAAGTTTAGCTTTTACCCAGCCTTCGTATAGCTCTTTATCATCCGGCTTAACAAAAGCTTTTGAATCTGAAATCCGAAATATATTGTTCTTATGGATTAAATTTCTTTATTACCAAAATATTATAATCTGTAAAAAAAATTCAAATTTTATTATATCTTATAAACGCACATACG